GAGGCTCAGGGGTGACCTCCTGGCTCTCTGCAACTCCCTGCCAGGGCTGGAGAGAGGTGGGGGATGTGTGTCCTGCCATGGCTGCAGGGAGAGGACTAGAGGGAATGGCCTTGAGCTGAGCCAGAGCAGAGTCAAATTGGATGTGAGAAGAAGTGCTTTCCCTGTGAGGGTGTTCAGGACTGGGATATTGCCCAGGGAGGTGGTAGAGTGACCATCCCTGGAGGTGTTTGAGAGGTGTCTGGACCTGGTGGCATTCCCTGTGTCCTGTGCCTCCATCCCTTGTCCCGAGTCCCTCTGCAGCTCTCTTGGAGCCCCTTAAGGCACTGGAAGGAGCTCTGAGGTATCCCTGGAGCTTTTCTCCAGGCTGAACACCCTCAGGTCTCCCAGCCTGGCTCCTGGGCAGCATTATGAGCTGTAATTGCCTTATCTCTTGTCCATAGAATCCATATCTATAAACTGAAATCTACATATATATATGAGGCACTAGCATAGGTTGCCTAGAGCAGCTGTGGCTGCTCCATCCCTGGAAGTGTCCCAGGCCAGGTTGGATGGGGCTTGGAGCAGCCTGGGCTGGTGGGAAGAAAGACATTAACCTGGAATGTAGGAGTTCCTGCTCTGCAGGAATTGTGTCATTGTTTTCTTTGTGTTTCAGGTGGCCAACAAACCCCAGTGAGAAGGCAGAGAGTGATAACTGGGATGCCTGGGCAGCTCAGCCCTCCCTGACCGTGCCCAGCGCAGGACAACTCCGGCAGCGCTCAGCTTTCACCCCTGCCACTGTCACAGGCTCCTCTCCCTCTCCTGTCCTGGGGCAGGTGAGCTCCTGCACTCACTCAAACCCTGCTGAGACAGCACAGAGGTTGGCAAAACAGATAGGAACGTTGTGCATTACATCAATCACCTGGATAGGTCATGAGCTTGGATGTGCAGGGAGTGTCCCCTGCCTCCAGCTCCAGGGCCCAGCACAGGAAGGACATGGAGCTTTGGAGAGTTCAGAGGAGGCACCAGGGGGATGAAAGGGATGGAGCAGCTCTGCTGGAAGGAAAGGCTGAGAGAGTTGGGGTTGTTCAGCCTGGAGAAGAAAAGCTTTGGGGTGACCTCATTGTGGCCTTCAGTGCCTGAAGGAGCTACAGGAATCCTGCAAAAGCAGCTTCGTGAGGGTTCATTGCATATGTATCTTGATGATCTTTATTTAACTGAATTTATTGAGCTTTATTCAGCTTTATTTGAATCCTGCACTGTGTCATGTGTTAGCAGACAGAAGTGCAGGACTGCAAGCACTTCTGGAGTCACTGTGCAGGCTTAAGTGAGGTTGCTTTGTACAGCTGAGAGTTCATTTTTTTCCTACATAAGTATCCTATGAGTGTATCTCCTTAAGCATCTTTCCTGTCCCTGACTTCTCTCCCTCTTCTTTTCAAGGGTGAAAAAGTGGAAGGGCTCCAAGCACAGGCTTTGTATCCTTGGAGGGCAAAAAAAGACAACCACCTCAATTTCAACAAAAACGATGTCATCACAGTTTTGGAGCAGCAAGACATGTGGTGGTTTGGAGAGGTCCAAGGACAGAAGGGGTGGTTTCCTAAGTCCTATGTGAAGCTTATTTCAGGCCCCATTAGGAAGTCAACGAGGTATTTGATTTGCTTTTCCTCCACTTCACCTCTGAACTGGAATAGGTTAATCAACAGGAAGAGCTGAGCTCTTGAGTTTTCAAGTTCAGGATCTGTCCAAGTGCCTTTTATATCTGACTCTCTTTGGGAGGGTTTTGCCTTCCAACCTTGGAAGAACTAGGAAGACTGACCTCAGTTCTCCTTGGGTCTTGCCTCATCCACAGTAGATGTAAAGCTTAGTGAACCTTCTAAAGCTTAGTGAGCCTTTTTGATTTTATGTGATTTGCAACTAGAAAAATGAGTGTATTGGACTTTCTGAGTTAAATCTGTCATGGCTTATCTACCCCCAAATCGAGAGGTCTTCCTCCAATCTACATCTCTTATCATTAAAGATGGAACATTTGAGAGGATGAAACACTTAAGATCTCGTTCCTATCATGTGAAGGCAAAATGAATCTTAGTAGTGCAAATTAGAATGATTCTAGATATGTTTTTCCTGAGGGAGAAGAGAAACTTGTGTGTCTAAGGCCATGACAGCACTGGGCCTAGAGACTTTATTTTTGCTCATTTGCTGTCTCTTTCCAAACACAGAGAGTTTCCTGTGGGTGCAAATGCAATTTTGAGGTTTGAAATCTAATGCTAATTTTTCTGGAGAGATTTAATTTCTTAAATAACCATTATTTTCTCCTAAAGCATGGATTCTGGTTCCTCAGAGAGTCCTGCTAGTCTGAAGCGGGTGGCGTCGCCAGCGGCCAAGGCAGCGATGTCAGGGGAAGGTAAGGCCCCTCAGGCTCAGCAGTGTTGGATGAGCAGCCAGAACCAAACTTAGGACCAGACTTGGGTGCTCAGGTTGAAGTGCAAGTCAGTTTGCCCCTGGAATGATTTCAGGGCATTGCAGTAGGAATTTGTGTGTGTTGTGTGTATAGAAGGAATAGGTGAATGTCACAGAAGATTTGGAAATGTCTTTTGTGCTTTGTACTTTTCCCAGTGTTTCTGATGTTGTTGCCTATACCTGGGGACAGTTTCTCACCTGGACTGGCTTTTTGCAGAGGGACAGATGAGGCATCAGCACATTAAGGCAGGAATCAGTAATAAATGCCTCAGTTTGCCCCAAAGCACATTTTCAGTGTTTGGTGAATCATAGAATCCCAGAGAAGCTTCTTGGGCCAGATTTAGTCTTCCAACACATAAGGCAGGGAACAGGTTTTGCAGCTGCAGTGGAATGTGTGAAGGTTTGTGTTCCAGAGGCATTGAAAGCCTGTCTGGACTCTTGGGAGCTGCTCTCAGGCCTAGAAACAGAGCAAAGGCCTCCTCAGAAAGATGCTTTGTGCCCATGGAAGGTGTGAGAATGCTCAGAGTATATGAATTTGTATAGAAGATGTGACTGAACTGTCTGAATTTCTCCTTTCTGATCATTCAGGTGAAAAATTCCCTGTTTCTGTGTCTGAACGGTCTCAACATCACCTGCTTTAGTGGTTTGCACTCGAACACTAAACAGTTGAGTGTTTTAACACTCAGAACAGCTTGAGGCTTGGTGTGAACAGGCCCAGGCTTTGTTTCCACACTGCCCAGCCATCTGCTGGGTGAGAGGGAGCGAGATGTGTGTCCTTCCTACTGAAAGCACTCGTTGTACACCAGACAGCTCATGTCAAATCAAGGCTGGATCCCACGTGTTGGTCCCAAAGGCTGTAAGCTCCAGGCACCAGCTCAGAGCAGGCACAGTAGGAAACATGCAGCAAAGTGCAGAGGGAATTGTTGCTTCTGTAAATGAAGTGTTTCTGTATAGTTTAGTTGCAGGAGCAAAGTATTCAGAGCAAAATCCACCCATGCAGCATTTTGGTAGGTGGCACTCAGCTCTGCTGGGTACCGTTGTAGGCACTAGATGCTGAGGTCTCTCTAGCTAGTAATGAATGCATTTGTCTCTCTCTAGCATGTGTGATGTTAACAAGGTTTTCACCACCAGCTGAGCAGTCTGTCAAGGGTTTCCCCTGTCGTGTGTCTGTTCCTCTTGCAGAGTACGTTGCCATGTACACTTACGAGAGCTCTGAGCAAGGAGACCTCACCTTCCAGCAGGGTGACATGATCCTGGTGACAAAGAAGGATGGTGACTGGTGGACAGGAACCCTGGGAGATAAATCAGGAGTCTTCCCATCCAATTATGTGAGGCTCAAAGATTCTGAGGTAGAGACATAGCGACATGTTACGGGCTGGAGCTGAGGGTGATCTGCTTGGGCTTGTGGTGGCAGTTGCAAGTCAAGGGATCCTGAGGGAAGAAAAGTATGTTGTGTTTTTACTGAATGAGAGTTTGGCAAGGGAAAGCAATGATAGTAACCACAATAATAGTTGCATTTCATGACATAACATCATAAACACCTTAGTGGATCATATATTGAAGTGTATTTTGCCCATGATAATAATTAACTTGGCAGGTTTGTAGAGACAAATCACAGCCATGATTGGTTTCTTCTCCTGATAAGTGCTTAATGACTGAGCTGTGTTTTACTGCCAGTGCTGAAAAACACCTAGATAGTAATATTCAGTCCATTATATTTTTCCCTACTGACATTTCTTGAAATCAAGGGGAACAAATTTCCCAACAGAACTTAGATAAGTCCTGTATTTTTGGAAAGTCCTTGCCTGAATAGTAGAGGTTCTGCTTCAGCTGGTTTTTGTCCTGGAATAATCCCATGGAACTTGTCTGTGTTCATATTTTCGGTCTTTTCAGGCATTTCTAAAGAAAGATGTTTTCTCATTTATATTGTTCGTGAGGATAATTTATCTGCTGGTATGAACTAGCTTAGATCTGAATAAACTATAATCTCCTGATGATGGTAGTTCATAGAGTCAGAGGATGTTCAGGGGTTGGGATGGAGCTTGGAATAATCCCATGGAACTTGTCTGTGTTCATATTTTCGGTCTTTTCAGGCATTTCTAAAGAAAGATGTTTTCTCATTTATATTGTTCGTGAGGATAATTTATCTGCTGGTATGAACTAGCTTAGATCTGAATAAACTATAATCTCCTGATGATGGTAGTTCATAGAGTCAGAGGATGTTCAGGGGTTGGGATGGAGCTTAAAGACCATCCAGCCCAGCCCTCCTAACACAGATCCCTCTGCAGCTTCCCTGGAGCCCCTTCAGCTCCTGCAGGTTGCTCTGAGGTCTCCACACAACCTTCTCTTCTCCAGGCTGAACAGCCCCAACTCTCTCCTAGGGAAGCTGCCCCAACCCTCTGATCAGCTTTGTGGTCTCCTCTGGACTTGCCCCAACAGTTCCATGTCCTTCTGATGTTGGGGACACCAGAGCTGTGTGCAGCATAGTTCATAGAATTCATAGAATCATGGAAGGAGTTGGAAGGGACCCTTGAGGATCATTAGTCCAACTCCAACCCCTGCCCAGGACACCCCAACACTGCACCCTTGGGCCTGAGAGCATTGGCCAAACCCTCCTAGAGCTCTGTCAGCCTTGGGGCTGTGACCACTGCCCTGGGGAGCTGTTCAGTGCCCAAACACCTCTGGGGGAAGAACCTTTCCCTGCTGACCCTCCCCTGACACAGCTCCAGCTGTTCCCTTGGTCACTAGAAGTCAGAGCTGTCCCTGCACTGTCCCCAGCTGTGCCCTAAGTCTCTGTATATCACTTCTAGGTTCATTCTGTGGCTGATGAGTGAGAACTTGCACTTTCAGCCTCCTGAGCCACCTGGCCCTGGTTCCTGGGTACCTGGGAATGGCTCCTAATTAGTCACCTAACCTCAACTCCATTCTTGTTAGTTAATGTTGAGTGTCCTTTGAAGCTTTGGGAAGGAACTGGTTTGGTTTTCCCTTCAGATATTCTCAGCAGTTTTGTCTCCAGAGCTGGGTATGTCTGTTCTTTTGGGCATCTGTCAGGCCTGGCTGCTTGTGCTTCTGGGATGAGACAGAGACACAGGTTGGCAAACCCTCTTTGTGGAGGGCTCAGAAACAGATGTTTCATTCTGCAAACTGCCTCTATCAGGTCACTTTACTGTTTCTCTGAGAGAACTTTGAGTTTGTAAACGATGTTTTCAGGTCCAACTTCATCTCTGAGTCTCACTCTTCCTCTCATGTGGAATTGAGCTACTCTCACTCCTTGTTGGGTTTCTTGGGGCTGTTCAAAGGCTTTTCTTGCCCTGGATGATGATGATGATGTTGACCCCTCACTTCCCTGTCTAGGTCCAGTGAGTTTCCTAGGCATGCTTGAATCCAGCTCTTTGTAGAGTTGAAAACTCCTATTGCTACTTCACCTCAACAGAATTCCCACTCTGTAGCTATGCGGATTCACAATCCAAAAGAGATATAACTGGGAATTAGATTGGGATTTGCAGGCCAGGAAAGGGAATAAAAGCTCAGGAAAGAAGTCTGCACTGATACAGTGAGTCACCCACTTCCATCCCTGCTCAGTGTTGATTCCCAGATAGCAATTGCCATCAGAAATATTAAGGATTTCTATCAGAACAGAACCTTCCTGTGGGTTTTTATTTGTTTATTGCATTAAGTGAAGCATAATAAATCATTCTTAATATACTGGAGGAATAAATCAGTGCTAAACTTGCACCTTCCTTTCTATTTCAAGGCTCCAGGAGCAGCTGGAAAAACAGGAAGCTTAGGGAAGAAACCTGGTGAGTCATACACTGTCACAGCACCTTCTGTCTGGTCTTAAGTACTTGAGTTCAATGGCAGCAGAATGTTTACTCTGACAATAAAGTGTGTTTGCTCATTCTGTGGTAGTTTGCACTGGTGAAACTGTTAAAAAACAACTTCAATAAATAATGTAATAAAATAATTAATCACTTTTAATCCTTCTGACATGTGTCAGTCATACATAGCATGTGCCTAGGGAATAAAACAGTGGAACCCTCCAGAAAGGCCCAGGTTTGCCAGAAAATGGAATTGGACATTGTTCCCCTGAGGTTTTACAGCCCCAGATGTTCCAAACTCTCATATCTAGAGGCTGTGTGAGCTCCTGAGCACTCACCTGGTGCCTGTGGCAGGAGGTGGTTGCTAGCCAGGCCTGCTCAGGCTGCAGCTGAGGTGTTGGGTAGAGAGTGCCCTGGCTTTTGGGATGGTGGGGCATGTCCTTCCAAACAGCCCTTGTGCCTCAAAGGGCTTTAGGAGAATGACATCGGAAACTTTCCAGAAGACTCCTCTGCTTTCCCTCAGTATTTATCATAGAAATGTTGGATCACAGAAGGTTTGGGGGTTGGAAGAACCCTAAAGTTTGTCCAGTTCCACCCCTGCCCTGGGCAGGGACACCTCCCACCAGCCCAGGCTGCTCCAAGCCCCATCCAGCCTGGCCTGGAACACTCCCAGGGATGGAGCAGCCACAGCTGCTCTGGGCAAACTGTGCCAGTGCCTCAGCATCTCACAGGGAGCAATTCCTGCCCAGTATCCACCTGTCCCTGCCCTCTGGCAGTGGGAAGCTATTCCCTGTGTCCTGTTCCTCCATCCCTTGTCTCAAGTCCCTCTGCCAGTGCCCATGAGAAGGTTGGACATGGTGTCCTTGCTCCCTTCCACTTCAGGCTGCTGTGGCAGTGTTGACCAAAGTCTCTCTCACTCACTGTCCCTTTGCTTTCTGCTGTTTTGTAAAGGTGCAATCTGGTGACAGCTCTGACCTTGTTCTACTCGGTCCTCTACTGCCAGTTTCTTAGAACAGACTAGGCTGAAACGTAGAATAGAATCATGGAGTGGTTTGGGTGGGAAGGAACTTAAAGTTCATCTCATCCCACCCTGCCCTGGGCAGGGACACCTCCCACCAGCCCAGATTGCTCCAAGCCCCATCCAGCCTGGCCTGGAACACTCCCAGGGATGGAGCAGCCACAGCCTCACAGAGTCACTGAGGTTGGAAAAGATGTCTTAGACCACCCAGTCCAAGCTGTGACCCATCAGCACTCCCAGCTCACCCAGAGCTCCGAGTGCCACATACCCAGAGCCATAGCAGTCACGCCCCATGCCCAGCTCAGGTGGGTGGTGCTCCTCAAGTCTGGCCCATGCATTCCCAACTAAAAGTCTCCTTGGTCTTACCCCTGGGTCGGAGTTTGCTGTTCCAGCAAACCAACCCCCAAGTTCCCTATCTCCCAGAGCGATACCCAGGCTGCCCCGTGGAGGGTTCTGCCCAGGGGCTGGGCTCTGGCAAGGCCGTGCATGCCATGCCAGGGCTGAGTCTGGCACATGGGCAGGGCTCGGTGCCCACTGAGCTTGGAGCTGCTCTAGTTGTGCCTCGGGGTGTCTCTCCCCAGCCCCAAGCTGTCAGTCCCAGCACTGCTGTGGGTGACCCCAGCACCTTTGGAGCTCAGGGTTCCTTGGTCTTGCTTGGTGCCTGGGTCAGATAAAGCCTCTCTGGAGTTAATCCCATGGCACAGAGATTTCCAGAGATCCTTTGGTGCACTCAGAAAATGTTCATTTCTGCCTCTGGTGGGGAAAGATTTGCTTCAGATCTGAATTCATCTGCAGCTCTTGGGGCAATTTTAGTGCCCTGTCATCAGTGCTGGTCCTGTCTCCTTTGGGGTTGGTTAGCTAGGTGTGATTTGTGCTCCTGAGTTTCTGTAGGTGAGCAGTGGGTATTGGTTTGATGAGTTACTTCTCAGTTCTTAGATGTGTTGGCATAAAGATCTGTTGTGTGTGTCATATCTGGAGATACAGGTACATTATACACACATCTCTCAGAGCTGAGTGTGGTAAAACAGTGAACCAAATACTGTATGGAATAAATTTAATTTGTTTCATTTTTCTTTATCTTAAGGTTTTTTTTCATAGAATTTTCTTTTTTTTACATAGAATGTGTTTTTTCACCTAGCAAATATTTTTATTTTTGCATTTTATTTTCAATTTATTTGCATTTCCTATCTGTATTTCTGCTGGTTTATATTTGTACGATCAGAAAACTGTTCTCATTTATAACTCAGAACTACAGTTAATAGAAGATAATTGTGTGTTTCATGTAGATCTGTGTAATCTAATAGAATTACATGTGTGTCATATAATGATATGGATAATATTGAAAACATGTCTTTGTATCATAATCCATCAGCTGTGGATTGTTTACTTGCACCCCAGTGTATCTAGCGATCCTCTGTCACACATGCCATAGTGACACGGCGCAGACGCAGTTGGTGTGTGCCCATGTCCATGTCCCTGCAGCTCTGGGTGTCACTGTCCTGGGAGCACCCAGGGCAGGGCAGAGCTGGGCAGGGCTGGCTCTGTGTTCGTGCTCACTGCCCATGACTGTCCTGTGTCCGCAGAGATCGCCCAGGTCATCGCGCCCTACGCGGCCACGGGCCCCGAGCAGCTCACCCTCGCCCCCGGGCAGCTCATCCTCATCCGGAAGAAGAACCCAGGCGGCTGGTGGGAAGGAGAGCTCCAAGTTAGTTCCTTTTTTTCCCCTAAGACAATCCCATGCTTGAACTAACCCTAAGTCTTTAGCAGCTCAAACTGAGAGGTGCATTCATAGCACACAGTTCTGCAGGCAAAGTGCCGCACAGAGGTGTCCAAGTGGTGCCGTCCTGGAGCTTGGAATCCCTCGGGAGGGGAAGCAAGAGAAAGCGTTGGAAGTGCCTTGGGAGGGTTCCTAGAGCTCCTCGGGGAGGAGAGGATTTTGAGGACTTCTTTGCTGTCTTCTGGCTTCCTTTTCAGCCTCCTTTGAACCCTCCCAGGTTCTTTCAGAGCAGAACTTTGGCCTCACTGAGTGAGATTTTGGTTGGGTTTGGTGTTTTTCACAAGGAAACTCCCATGAAAAAATGGTAATTGATTCATTTTTGCAGTGCAGATGCTCAAACTAACTCCAGTATTTTCCTCCTTTTGGCCTTTCCTGCTGTTATTTTATCACCTTTTGTGTGGAGAAATCTGCAATGAGGATCCCTCTGGGTCTCACTGTCCCTCATCTCCATGTGGATGTTCAGTTCAGCCCTAAGGAGCCTCAATTCATTGTATTTTAAGGCAGAAAAGAAGCTTCTCTGGGCAAGAGCCGCAGCTGCTTCTGAGCAGCTGATATGAGGGCCTGGAACAGTTCACTTTGGGTGTGCAAATGCTCAAATGTAGCTTTGGGTGATTTTCTGTCTTACATACCGATTTACAATTGGGTTTGACTCATTGTCAGTCCCTGTATGTTCTTTCATCCTCCTATTCCACACTGAGGGCTCGGACTGAAGGGAAAATCAGGCAAATCTAAGCATTGCACTACTGGTTTAATCAGAATCCCCTAATATCTTAGAACTCTTGATCTAGATACACTCAAGAAAGACGTAGAGTGGGAAAAAATAGAGAACAGTAAAAGTGTTGGAGGACTTTTTATTTCACTTCAATTAGCATCTAATTTGTCTTCAAAGGCAAAATTCTCCCTGCCCGAAATGTCAGACTCATTCTAACAACACAAACACAGAGTAAAGGCTTAAAATGGCCCTTGACACAGGTTTAGAGGTGAGGTGCAAAAGAGTCAGTTTGGGTTCTCAGTCCCTGCTTAGACTGCCCCAGTCCTTTGTGTGATGGACAAGCATTTAAATGCTGACACAAGTGGCATAACATTCACCTTTTCCCTCACAACCAGCAGAATTCCCCTTAGAAAATTCAGTTCTCTTCTTCCCCAGCAGTGTGACTGCAAATAGTTCTGGTCTAAGGATCTGTCGATGTGCTTAATGCTCTTAAAAGCCTTGTTTGCCCCCAGGCCCGAGGGAAGAAGAGGCAGATTGGATGGTTCCCTGCCAACTATGTCAAGCTCCTGAGCCCAGGTACCAGTAAATCCACACCCACCGAGCTCCCCAAGTCTGCAGCAGTGCCCTCAGGTGAGCCGGGGTGGTGTGGGGGGCATGGGGGACAGGGCAGTGGGACACACTGCTCTGGCTTGTAGAGGGACCTTAGACATATCCCATCCCACCCTGCCCTGGGCAGGGACACCTCCCACCAGCCCAGGCTGCTCCAAGCCCCATCCAGCCTGGCCTGGGACACTCCCAGGGATGGAGCAGCCACAGCTGCTCTGGGCAACCTCGGCCTGTGCCGCAGCCCCTCACAGGGAGCAATTCCTGCCCAATCTCCATCTGTCCCTGCCCTCTGGCAGTGGGAATGTAAGAGGTTAATGTCAGAGGTTAATGTCAGATGTTAATGCTTGAGGAGCAACTTCCTTTTATTACTGTGATGCCTTTGCTCTCCACCTCCCTCAGTGTAGCACCAAGTGCTTGACTTAACTGGGGTTTCATTGGTTTATGCCTTTGCACTGACACTTTGGCTCTGTACTCTGGGGATTTCTTAACCCCTGACTGTTCTGTGTGTGGTTTGTATGTGGCACTTGGAGCTCTGACAAGTGGTGATGGGGCACAGGTTGGACTTGGTGCTCTGGGAGTTCTTTTCCAGCCTCAGTGATTCTGGGAATAAAAAGAAAGAAACAAGCTCTTTGGCAAATGGAAAGAAGTTCCTAGCTGAGCCCAGGACTGAAGATAAAACACATTTTAGGATTAACCTAATGCAGAGAACCTGCCAGAAAGGCTCATTGGTAGGGGTCTCCTGTTGGTGGGAAAGCACCAGAAACCCTCTGGCTTGGCAAAGGGAAAACATCAGGAAACGAAATGATTCACTGAAAGTCCTTGTGCTTCAGGGAACTCAGGAAACTGCTCTGGCAGAACTGAGCAGATACTGCTGCATTTGCAGTCCCAGACACCCTGCACGAGGTTCTTTGTAAGGAAGCAGAAAATAAGCTGCTGGAAGTGTCCTGAAGTGCCACACAGGCAGCCTGGATGGCCTGGGATGCTTTGTACTCTCCATCTTTTCCAAGACTTGTGTGTTCCTAACACCCCAGTGGGACTACAAGGGCATCACCATTGGCTTTCTTTTGGATTGTGGAGCTTCAGATAGTGCAATTTCAAATGTTTCCCACACATCCCTGTCCATTGATCAGTTCTGGTGGGAAGTGGAAAGTTCCAGGCCAGATTGGATGGGGCTTGGAGCAGCCTGGGCTGGTGGGAGGTGTCCCTGCCCATATATGTGCTTAAAGGTCCTTCCAACCCAAACCATTCCACAATTCTAGGAAACTCTAGGGGATTTTAAATCACCTGGAGACAATTTGCCAAGGTCTGAGCTCAGCACCAGGATGGAGCACAGGAAAGGGACAGGATGGGTTCAGGTCAGTGTGGTGTCTTGGAGCAATCCTGAGCCACCTGTAGTGTTCATAGCTGGTCCATGTGTATGGGGACGGTCACATTGGATATCAGGACAAGGTTCTTCCCCCAGAGGTGTTTAGGCACTGAACAGCTCCCCAGGGCAGTGGTCACAGCCCCAAGGCTGACAGAGCTCCAGGAGGGTTTGGCCAATGCTTTCAGGCTCAGGGTGCAGTGTTGGGGTGTCCTGGGCAGGAGTTGGACTCTGGTCCCTGTGGGTCCTTCCCACTCAGGCTGTTCTCTGTGTGTCTGCCCAAGCTTTGCTGCATGCCTGTCACTGTGCCTGACTGTGTTTTGCCTTGCAGTGTGCCAAGTGATTGGCATGTATGACTACACTGCCCAGAACGACGACGAGTTGGCCTTCAACAAGGGGCAGATCATAAATGTGCTCAACAAGGAGGACCCTGACTGGTGGAAAGGGGAGGTGAATGGCCACGTGGGGCTCTTCCCATCCAACTACGTGAAGCTGACCACAGACATGGATCCCAGCCAGCAGTGTGAGTGTCCCTCTTGGCTCTGCCTTTCTCTCTCTGTGCTCCTCTGAGGTGAAACATGCAGCATTGCTGTGACTCTGCTGGGGTGTGCAGACCTCCAAGCCTCCCCCCACTGCTGCCCCTGGCCAAGTCTCTTTGAAGACCTTCTGTAACTCAGACCTGATTTGGTGTGTGTTTTATTTTGAGTTCCCATCCTCCCCTGTAGCATGTTCTCCCCTCCCCCCAATCATTTTGGACCATGCTGTTGACATGCCTCATTTTCCTAGCTTGAATTTGCTCATTGTTTTGTTTTGCTTATGTGTTGTTTTCCTCCTTTTTCTAGGAATCATATGTTGTCCATCCCCCACTCAGGCTTGAAAGTCCTCAAAGAGACCCACTATCCCATAACACTGCCCAGAGGGATGATGGGAGATGCAGCCTTGATCATGTGGCTTCCAGCATGATCATCTACTGCCTTCTGAGTAGAAGAACACACTGCAGAGCAGTTTTACCTCATTTGCCATTAGTTGCATGGAACAGCAATGTCTGAGCTCAGTAACCTGCAGATAGATGCAAAATTCAAACTGATCAAAAAGCAAAAAAAAAAGCCAACAACAAACTACAAAACTATCTATAAGAATATAAAAACCAGAGGATAGTGGGTCCTTTTGTGGCTTTCAGAGTTACCAAACTCATGTTTCCACCTTGGCACAGGTGTTTTTTTCCTGGTAGTTCGAAACACTATTTTGTTGTCAAAGTTCCTATTTTAGCCTTTGAAAGCTGAAATTCCAATTTCCTCATTGCAAATCGGTTGTGCAAAAAGACCCACTATCAAGGAATGCTGCATGTGCTGTTAAACTTGTTCCAAATGTCCATGAATCGGAGACTTTATGTACTTTTTTTTACTGTTCACTTGTCTGGTGTTGTCAATATGTCTTTATTTTCCTTTATTTTTCCTTTGTTTTCCTAATGGCAAAAGAACAGAAGGACTTAAACCAGTTTAAGGCTCTTGAAATGTGCCCAATTCCAGGTCTTTTTGTTGTAGTTATTGTACTGTATGTATCAGGTGTTCCTTGTTGAGTGTGTAATCCGTTGTGGAGAGGAGGAGGAGCAGGGTCTGGTGTTGTCAATATGTCTTTATTTTCCTTTATTTTTCCTTTGTTTTCCTAATGGCAAAAGAACAGAAGGACTTAAACCAGTTTAAGGCTCTTGAAATGTGCCCAATTCCAGGTCTTTTTGTTGTAGTTATTGTACTGTATGTATCAGGTGTTCCTTGTTGAGTGTGTAATCCGTTGTGGAGAGGAGGAGGAGCAGGGCAGGAAGGTTAAACCCTGGAGGAATGTTTGATCCACTTCTGCTCAGTTGACTTTGCACACCACAGTTGGTAAACACCTTGGCTTGTGTTGTCTCCTCTGGGCTTGGTGCATTTCCCTGTCAGAAATGGATCCAAAGGGATTGGAGAAGTCACTTCTTGGGTCGGATTTGCCCCGGGTGGAACCACATGTTCGGAACGAGTTTCCCTGACAAGAAAGAATGTAGAGAACTCTCTCCCTGCAGTCCATTTCCAATGTTTACATTTTCTGAGGCAGAGCTAGGCCGTGGAACTGCTACAAGTGACAGTTGAGCGGAGCTGCAGTGGAGCTGCTGTAGATGTGCTGTAGCCAAGCCACTGTTTGTATCACCAGCAGCTCCTGAGATGCCTGGGGCTGGCATTGCTCTCCCCACGAAGCCTCAAGCACAATGTAGCTCTTCCACTAATGAATTCCCACTTAGCCACATCCTGGTTTGTGTATTCCACTCCTTTCCAGACTTCCTGCTGGCAGCCTGGGGCATTTCCACCACCTGGAGCTGCTCCCTGAGTTCGAGGGCCAAGGGAAGCTCCTTGCTCAGCTGCACCTCAGCCTTTCATCCCTCGGAATGTAAATTATATAAATATATAAACCTGCAGCTTTGCCACGTGTAACTCAGCCTTTCCACTCAGCTCCGTGTGCGGAGAATTAAACCCTTCCTACAACAGCCAGACCAACGCGTGTTCTGTCTCGTTGCTGGGTACACAGCTCACCCTGGGGCGCCAGGGCCCGAGGGCACTGCCCACCACAGCAGCCTCGGGCCCTTCTCCTCTCGGAGTGACACTGGTTTGGGCCGTGGGAATGCCATTCCAATGGAGTCCATCCTCGGGACCTTGGCTCTGGGGCTTGGTGGGGTGCTGAGCAGGGCAGGAGCTGTGCTCATGGTGACCCCTGTGAGTCCTTCCACCTCAGGACACACTCCAGTCTCTGTTCCAGAGGTGATCCCTGCTACGAATCCATGGCTGTCTACTCATTTGTACTGTACTGGCAGAAAAATCAAATGTTCCTTCCTCTTTCCCCATGAGTTTACATGGACTTAGGGTCTGGTTCATGCCAGAAATCTAGTCTGAAAACATCCACAACTCCACGGATTTCTCTTCTTCTCAGGACAGTCTTTAACATGCACGAAGTTACCATTTCTGTCAGAAAAGAATAATCCTTCCCATCACAGCTGAAAACCAGGGAAACAGAGCAGCACATCACACCTGGCAGTGCCTCTTGCTTTGCTCTCAGAGGGGTAAGGCAGATCTGACTCCACCAGGGCAACAGTTTGTGCATCCCGTGCTGTGACAGTGCCAGGGAATCTCTGCTTCCCCACACGGAGCTGTGGGGCTGAAAAACTCACTTGGCTCCAAGTGCCTAAGTTTGGGGGTTGGTGACCAGGGTAGAAATATCCTTTGTATGTGTTGAAATGCTACTAGTTCTTTGGCCACAGGGAAATGTTACCAACTCTTCAGCTACGGGCTCAGGTGCTGCTTCTTTCTTTCCCATTGCTTCAGGTGAGAGGAAAAGCAAAGCTCTTAGAACAACCTGCACCCTCCTGGAGCTCTGGCAGATCATCAAGTCCAACCATCAGCCAGCACCATCACCATGTTCACTGCCAATCACATCCTCAAGTGCCATGTCTAGTTGTTCCTTGGACACCTCCAGGTTTGGTGACTCCACCACCTCCCTGGGCAGCACACTCCAGTACCAAAACTGTGTGTCCATTTGCAGTTGGAGCAGAGCTCTTCCCTCAAAGATGCAGAGAAAGCTCTAGAAACAAGTCTGGAACGTTCCACTTGGCAAAATCTTCATCATTCTTGAGTGGTAAGAATCTTCCTCTCTGTAAGTGCTCCAAACCCATGTGGATGTGGCACTTGAGGACATGGTTTGATGGTGAACGTGGCAGTGCTGGTTGATGGTGGGACTTGATGATCTCAAGGGTCTTTTCCAACCCTAATGATTCTGTGATTGGATGATTCTACCAATCTCTTACCAGAATATGTCCAGAAGCAATAAAATCCTACATGTGAAGACATGAAAGCATCTAACAGTGTCAATCAACAGAGTCAATCAACTTCCTCATTGATATATCACACCAGGAAACTTTAAATCTATCTCTGGATTGTGCCCAGGACCTGTCTCGAGCCCCTGAGCTCTCACTGGGCAGAGCAGCAAATCACATAATCATGGAGTGTTAAGGGCTTGGAATGGAGCTTAGAGACCATCCAGCCCCAACCCCTGCCCTGGGCAGGGACACCTCCCACCAGAGCAGGTTGCTCAAGGCTTCAGCCAACCTGGCTGTGAACACTGCCAGGGTTGGGGCAGCCACAGCCTCCCTGGGCAACCTGGGCCAGTGTCTCACCATCCTCACAGGGAAAACTTCTGCCTGAAACCTAGCCTAAATTTCCTTCTCTCCATTTCTCCCCATTGCTCCTTGTCCTGTCCCTGCAGTTCCTAGCACAGATCCCTCTGCAGCTTCCCTGGTGCTCCTTCAGCTCCTGCAGGTTGCTCTGAGGTCTCTATGCAACCGCAACCTTCTCTTCTCCAGGCTGAGCGGCCCCAACTCCCTCAGCCTGTCCTCATAGGGGAGGTTCTCCAGTCCTCTTAGCAACTTCATGACCTCCTCTGGACTTGCTCCAACAGTTTCATGTCCTTTTGATGTTGGGGACACCAGAACTGTGTGCAGTATTCCAGGTGGGTCGCACCAGAGCAGAGCAGAGGTGGAGCATCGCCTCCCTTGAGCTGCTGCCACACTCCTTTGGGTGCAGCCCAGGCCAGGGTTGGTGTCTGGGCTGAGCTCACAGTGCAGCTCATGGGGAGTTCATGAACATGAGTTTTTCTGTGAGTCAGGAGCAGCACCATGGATCCAAGCAGGACGAGCTGCAGAGCCCAAATTTACATGGTCTTCCACGAAAACAAAGGTCCCCTGTGTGGGCACTTCACTTGGAGTCAGGAATGTGGGGACTAAATACCGGATGTAAACCTTTTAGCAACCAACATTTTATTGGATTTTTACTTTCCTGTGCAGAATTCTCCTCCAGCCTTCAGCCAGAGGTGGAGCAGGGAGTGATCTCTGCTTTCTGTGATCTGAGGGAACAGCTGGAGCTGTGTCAGGGGAGGGTTAGGCTGGAGAGGAGGGAAAAGTTCTTCCCCCAGAGGTGTTTGGGCACTGAACAGGGTCAGGTTGGGTATCAAGACAAGGTTCTTCCCCCAGAGGTGTTTGGGCCCTGAACAGCTCCCCAGGGCAGTGGTCAGAGCCCCAAGGCTGACAGAGCTCCAGGAGGGTTTGGCCAATGCTCTCAGGCTCAGAGTGCAGTGTTGGGGTATCCTGGGCAGGAGTTCAATCTGATCCTTGTGGGTCCTTCCAGCTCAGCAGATTCCATGATTCTGTGATATTTCCTGGCTTCAACATTCAAATGAAGGAGTCAAACCAGACTGACTGTGACCCTCCTTGGGGCCCAGAATGACTCCAAGCAATGAAACAATCCAGCAGAGGAAGCTACAGAGATGAGTGTGATGATGGGACAAACACAGCTCCAGTTTCAGCTGTCCAGGGCACAGCAAACCTTTGCCTGGGACACTGGTTTGAGCCCTGTTCAGACCAGTCCCCTGGGGCACTGGTACCAGTTCACAGCTGTCAGGGGGAATGTCCAGCAGCACCAGAGCAGCTCTGGGTGGGTGGAAGCTGGGATGGACCCCACAGAGAGGTTGGGGAGTGAGGAGCACACGTGAAAGAGCTTCCTTGCTCTAGGGCCAGGGTCAGGCCCTAACAGGGAGGGAAGGCATGAAGGAACAAGTGAGAAATTTGTGCTAGAAAATGGAGCCAATCTCTGTGATCATTGAATCATGGAATCCGTAAGGTTTGGAAAGATCTTTAGGATCACAGAATATCCTGACCTGAAAGGATCCACAAGGACCATCAATCCGACTCCTGCCTAGGACACCCCAACAATGTTCCATGTGCCTGAGAGCATTGGCCAAACCCTCCTGGAGCTCTGGCAGATCATCAAGTCCAACCATCAGCCAGCACCACCACCATGTTCACCACCAACCACATCCTC